GGTGAACTTTCTGTTAGTTAGTCGCGGACCAAATCTTGTTAAATACAATTGCTTAAGTTATGCATACATCGTTTGTTTTATTTTAATAGCTGCTAAAAAGGCTTAGTAGCTCAACATTTGGTGACCCCGACGTGATCGTATCACGAGATTTTTCGTTTGTTTCCGGCCGCTTAATGAGATAATTCTGCCACACTAGTGTAAACGTCAGCAACTTCGTCATGCCAAGGGAAGGTGCAGATCGAGTAGCCTTTCTAAAGGGGAAAACAAAGGCCATATTCAGCAGACTGGAGAGCTTGATTAACGAGTTGGACGCAGACAAGCTACACAGTATGGATGAGTATAGTCTTTCAGCAATGCTAGAATCCTTAGGCGAATTGAAATCCAGTTTTTCTGCCGCACACACAAGCTTAGAGGAATTGGACTTCGACTCCATTGCCAGCGACCTGCCAAGTAACTTCGATGCTGCTCTAATCAACCTTAGAGCTACACTGCAACGCGAGATTGGTAAACGTAGTGCCTCGCAACATTGCTCCACGCTCAGAATGAACTCCAGTGAGACCCAATCAATCATTATGAACGCTAATAGCTCACGCTTGCCATTGCTGACACTGCCTAAATTCAGTGGCGCCTACACCGAGTGGATAAATTTCTTTTCAATGTTCACGTCAATAATCGACAAGGACAGCGACCTCACCAACATCGACAAATTGCAGCATCTTCGTTCCTGTCTGAGCGACGCTAATTATAACACTGCATTAGATCTTTTACAAAAGCGCTTCGATAACAAACGTCTTATATTTCAGGCACACGTCAGGGAGATATTTGGGCTAGAGAGAGCAGATTCAAACGTAACCAAGCTACGAGAGCTGACAGATAAGATCACAGCACACATACGCGCATTGCAGTCGCTCGCATCCAATGGGAAGATCGCAGATGGCATCATCGTACAATTGGTGATCCAGAAACTCGACAAAAAGACGCAGGCTAAATGGGAGGAGAGTTCATCGATCAGCGAACTGCCATCCTGGGATCAATTAGCTATGTTCTTGGAGAAGCGCTGCAGAGCACTCGAGAATGTTGAGCATTCTATGCAGACACCGACTGGTCAGACGGTAAAAGCTAACAAGAACGTGAGTACTGGTCAGAGGAAATCCTTTGTTGCTTCCAACGGCTCAAAAGGTGTTTGTGTGTTTTGTGGATCTGCCGAGCATGCAATTTATAGCTGCCAACGCTTTGCAAATTTGTCTCCGAACTTACGCCTGAGGGAAGTTAAGAAGCTTTCCCTTTGTCTTAACTGCCTAAAGACTGGGCATCAAATTCGTGACTGCAAATCCGGATCGTGCCGCGCCTGTCAGTCGAAACACCACACTCTCTTGCATTTCGAACGCTCAACTGCATCGTTAATCAATAGTCAAGCCGAAGCTTCGTCGGTAGCTACAGTTCAATCCAACGCTATGACTGCATCGTTATCTGTGTCGCCTAGTGCCCCAGTATCTCCTTCTGATGCTGTGTTCCTAGCTACTGCCGTCGTTCTGGTAAAAAATCGTGCTGGAAGCTTCGTGCCTTGCAGAGCGCTTTTAGATTCTGGCTCCCAATTACACTTTGTCACAACTCGCCTTGCAAACCAATTGCAGCTTGTAAAAGCAAAATCCTCTGCTACAGTATCTGGCATTGGAGATGCCAATTTCTCAACGGAGGGTTACTCAGTCGACCTCGTACTGAAGTCGCGGACTTCAGATTTCTCAACAAACATAACAGCTGTTGTTGTGCAAACCATAACCGACGACCAGCCTGGCTGCTCCGTGAGCACCAACGAGTGGAATGTTCCGTCGAATATACAACTAGCTGATCCTGGGTTCAACTTACCGCAGCGAATTGATCTGCTCATTGGAGCAGCATTGTTCTTCGATCTGCTATGTGTGGGGCAGATACGCTTGGCATCTGGTTTACCACTCCTTCAGAAAACACGCCTCGGTTGGGTGCTATCTGGAGGGGGGCAACAAGCTCCAAAACTATCATCTTTTGTGGTGCGACGGAAGTCCTCCAGTGATATTATTGCCACTCGGTTGGAAGATTTAGTGCGTCAGTTCTGGGAAATAGAGCACAACTTCGAGCCGATCTGTAAGGCCTCCCAAGAAGATATCGACTGCGAAGCCCACTTCAGGGAAAATTATTTGCGATTGTCATCAGGCGAATACTCAGTTCGTCTTCCCATGAAGCGTGGTGTGGAGGCCCTTGGAGACTCCTATTTGCAAGCTCGTCAACGCTTCGAAAGTCTTGGACGAAAGTTCGCTCGTAACCCTGAGCTTAAAACAGAATATAGTAAGTTCATAAAGGAATATCTGGACCTTAATCACATGTCGCTAGTTACCAATGAGGTTTTTCAACAATGCAAGTATTTTCTGCCGCATCATTGCGTCATCATGGATGACAGTAGCACAACAAAGCTGAGAGTGGTTTTTGATGGCTCTGCATCCACTACTTCGGGCTTTTCGCTGAACGACCTACTCATGGCAGGCCCAACTATTCAGCCGAAACTTTTTAATATCCTTATTAGATTTCGTACTTTTCCCATAGCACTTACTGGGGACATCTGTAAGATGTATAGGTGTGTTCGCGTCACCCCACCAGATAGCATGCTCCAATGCATATTGTGGCGTGAATCTCCTCAGGAAAACTTTTCCATCTATAAGTTAGACACGCTGACTTATGGAACTAAGCCTGCGTCATTTCTGGCCATACGTGCCATGCACCAACTCGCAGCTGACGAATCCTCGACTTATCCCATTGGTGCAGAAATAGTGCGTCGAGACTTCTACGTATATGACTTGATATCTGGAGGCGATTCGATGGAAGAAGTACTGAATATCAAGCTACAAACAACTAGCCTCCTTGCTCGAGGAAACTTTAAGTTACGCAAGTGGTGCTCTAATAGTCGAGATATCCTTCGTGATATACCTGACGTAGACAAGGAATGTTTCCTTAAGTTTGACGATGGCAGTGACATCACCAAAGCTCTGGGACTAGTTTGGGATCCGGTCAAGGACAAGCTGCTATTTTCGTTTGTGCCACAACGAGAACTCGATAAAAACTCAAAACGCTCTGCGTTGTCAACTCTAGCTCGCTGTTACGATCCCCTTGGACTAATGGGCCCTACGCTGACCAAGGCGAAGATTCTTCTGCAACGCATGTGGAGAGACAAGCTTGAGTGGGATGAGAGTCTACCGCAATCGTTAAACACCGCCTGGTCTGCCTTTTGCAGCGGGTTTGCAGACATACAGCACCTATCATTTCCTCGTTACGTCTTGCAACCTGGGGCCATTACAGAAATTCATGTATTTTGCGATGCAAGCCTTGAAGCTTATGGGGCTTGCGGTTATACGCGGTCAGCCAAGGATAGTAAGGTACAAGTGCACCTGTTGTGTTCGAAGGCTCGTGTCGCTCCACTGAAGACTATCACAGTGCCCAAGCTGGAACTCTGTGCAGCAACACTGCTTGCACAACTCATGGGTGAGTTTACAAAAATGAAGCTTTTTAACTGTTCATTTCATTGTTGGTCAGATTCCTCCACTGTCCTCTCGTGGCTGCGAGAAGAACCATCGAAATTTAACGTATTTGTCGCTAACCGAATTTCCACCATACATCAATTAACGGAGGGCATGCGGTGGCACTATGTTCCGACAGCAATGAATCCGGCGGACATTTTATCCAAAGGAGCTACTCCACAGGAACTTCTAGGATCTTCACTTTTGATGCACGGCCCGTCATTTTTGCGAGAAGTGGAGGGCAGCTGGCCGCGCATGTGTCTACCATAACCAAAACTTCCAGAACTTCGACAAAAGGTCTTGCTTGCCGCACATAACCGCAATGACATTTCGCTTTCTTTCAAGTACATTAATTCATTTGGAACAATGCGGCGCATTTTAGGGTACGTCAGCAAATTTGTCAATATTACAACATCGCCAAGCTCTTCGCAGCTCACAGCCGCAGATATTCACCATGGAACTCAACTGCTTATTCGCTTAGTACAAAGAGCGCAACTTTGGCCGGAGTACACGGCATTACAGGCCAATAATTGCGTCCCGAGTTCGAGCAGCATTGTTTCGCTATCACCATTTCTTGATGACTTTGGAATTATTAGAGTCGGCGGGCGATTAAAAAACTCTATGCTTAGCTTTGAATCGCGCCACCCATGCATTATTCCGAAGAATCATCCACTGACATTTAGTATAATAACCTATTTTCATCGCAAACAACATCACGCAGGTTTTATTACAAGCCTGAAGTACGCACAAATGTTATGTAAGCGTTTTCATTTGCTTCGCCACAAAGGCTGTATGGATGGAGTTGGTAAGAGACCTCTCAACAGGTGCTTTCATTGACGCGCTAAAACGATTTATCGCTACGCGTGGCATACCCAGCTGCATCTGGTCTGACAATGCGACGAATTTTGTAGGCGCCAAGAACGAGCTTAAAGAACTACGGAACTTAGCCCTCAGCGAGAAACACCGCAGCGAAGTCCACAACTTTTGCCTCAGTAATGGCTTTGATTGGCGTTTCATCCCACCTCGCTCTCCGCACTTTGGCGGTTTGTGGGAAGCGGCCGTAAAAACAGCCAAACAACATTTCTATCGTTCCGTTGGCTCATCACTGCTTGGCTTCGATGAATTGCGTACTTTGGTATGTCAAATCTGTGCTGTAATTAACTCTCGTCCTCTCGTACCCCTTTCAGAAAACCCAGAGGATTTAGACGTGCTAACGCCAGGCCATTTTTTGATTGGTGGTTCTCTGACAGCTCTTCCGGAACCGGATCTAACGACGCTAAACTACGACCGACTTGATCGATGGCAGCGTGCAACATACATTAAACAGGTTTTTTGGAAGCGGTGGACTCAAGAGTATCTAACTCTTCTACAGCAACGCGCATATGTTTATCAAAATCAATATGAATAACGTTATCTGATCACACTGAAAATTTCATACTCAATTGAGCTGCATATTTACTTGTATGTATTTAAACTGTGCTAATTTTGTTTCCCCTTTATACTATTTATAAAGCATATGTATATACATACATACATATATGTATGTGCATACGTACCGCCCGCGCTCAGTTGGATACATTCGTATGCAAGCAAGCAAAAAATAGTACATACATATATATGTAAGCAATATTGTGTGCGCGGGTGCATACGTACATAAATATATATATGTAAATTCTCATGCATTTAAGAAAACTGGTTTTATATTGTTGGTGATGAATTTGCAGTTATCCAATATAATTAGGACATACTTAAATAGTTCAAGGTGAACTTTCTGTAAGTTAGTCGCGGACCAAATCTTGTTAAATACAGTTGCTTAACTTATGCATACATCATTTGTTTTATTTTAATAGCTGCTAAACAGGCTTAGTAGCTCAACATTTGGTGACCCCGACGTGATCGTATCACGCGATTTTTCGTTTGTTTCCGGCCGCTTACTGAGATAATTCTGCCACACTAGTGTAAACGTCAGCAACTTCGTCATGCCAGGGGAAGGTGCAGATCGAGTAGCCTTTCTAAAGCTGAAAACAAAGGCCATATTCAGCAGACTGGAGAGCTTGATTAACGAGTTGGACGCAGACAAGCTACACAGTATGGATGAGTACAGTCTTTCAGCAATGCTAGAATCCTTAGGCGAATTGAAATCCAGTTTTTCTGCCGCACACACAAGCCTAGAGGAGTTGGACTTCGACTCCATTGCCAGCGACCTGCCAAGTAACTTCGATGCTGCTCTAATCAACCTTAGAGCTACACTGCAACGCGAGATTGGTAAACGTAGTGCCTCGCAACATTACTCCACGCTCAGAATGAACTCCAGTGAGACCCAATCAATCATTGTGAACGCTAATAGCTCACGCTTGCCATTGCTGACACTGCCTAAATTCAGTGGCGCCTACACCGAGTGGACAAATTTCTATTCAATGTTCACGTCAATAATCGACAAGGACAGCGACCTCACCAACATCGACAAATTGCAGCATCTTCGTTCCTGTCTGAGCGGCGCTGCCCTTGACACCGTGCGCTCGCTGGAAATAAACGACGCTAATTATAACACTGCATTAGATCTTTTACAAAAGCGCTTCGATAACAAACATCTTATATTTCAGGCACACGTCAGGGAGATATTTGGGCTAGAGAGGGCAGATTCAAACGTAACCAAGCAACGAGAGCTGACAGATGAGGTCACAGCACACATACGCGCATTGCAGTCGCTCGCATCCAATGGGAAGATCGCAGATGGCATCATCGTACAATTGGTGATCCAGAAACTCGACAAAAAGACGCAAGCTAAATGGGAGGAGAGTTCATCGATCAGCGAACTGCCATCCTGGGATTAATTAGCTATGTTCTTGGAGAAGCGCTGCAGAACACTCGAGAACGTTTAGCATTCTATGCAGACACCGACTGGTCAGGCGGTAAAAGCTAACAAGAACGTGAGTACTGGTCAGAGGAAATCCTTTGTTGCTTCCAACGGCTCAAAAGGTGTTTGTGTGTTTTGTGGATCTGCCGAGCATGCAATTTATAGCTGTCAACGCTTCGCAAATTTGTCTCCGAACTTACGCCTGAGGGAAGTTAAGAAGCTTTCCCTTTGTCTTAACTGCCTAAAGACTGGGCATCAAATTCGTGACTGCAAATCCGGATCGTGCCGCGCCTGTCAGTCGAAACACCACACGCTCTTGCATTTCGAACGCTCAACTGCATCGTTAATCAATAGTCAAGCCGAAGCTTCGTCGGCAGCTACAGTTCAATCCAACGCTATGACTGCATCGTTATCTGCGTCGCCTAGTGCCCCAGTATCTCCTTCTAATGCTGTGTTCCTAGCTACTGCCGTCGTTCTGGTAAAAAATCGTGCTGGAAGCTTCGTGCCTTGCAGGGCGCTTTTAGATTCTGGCTCCCAGTTACACTTTGTCACAACTCGCCTTGCAAACCAATTGCAGCTTGTAAAAGCAAAATCTTCTGCTACAGTATCTGGCATTGGAGATGCCAATTTCTCAACGGA